CTGCGAAGTCCAGGATTCAGCTGTTCAGAGTATTCAGGTTTAGGGTTTAGGGTTTAATCAGGGTTTAGGGTTTATGGTTTAGGGTTAGACCTCCACTTGTATTCCTTTCAGGATTTGGAGTGCGGGGTTATGTTTCACTACCCTATTTAAGTCCTAAACCCTAAACCCTCAGCCCTTCATCGACAGCGCTCAGCTGCAGCCAGGGACAACGCATGCGAGACAGCCCCGACGACTTCTGGCTCCACCCTGTAGCGCCAAGAGTGGGTCTGGCTTGGGGCTTGGGGCACAGGGTTTCGGGTCAAGTGGTTCAAGGTGGAACTCAATGAGGGGCTTGGGGGTTTGGGGTTTGCTGGGTTTACCATCTCTCCATGGGCTCGCTCCTGCTAGGGCTTGAGGCACATAGGATACTGGTGCGGGGCGTCGGAGTGTAGAGTTTGGGCAGGTGTCTTGAAGAGACCTTTAGGGTTTAGGGTCTAGGGTCTAGGGTTTAGGGTTTAGGGTTTAGAGCTTAGGGCTTAGGGTTTAGCATGTCCCAAACATCGTTGGCCCTGGGAGCCTAGAACTCTGAGCCCCCAAACTCTGAGTCACTCCTCATCCCTAAACCCTAAACCCTAACGAGCCTCAACCTTTAAAGAAGGGTGCAGGGCTGAGGCCAGGTGCGCCCGAAACTAAAGACTCCCAAAAACACAGGAACCCGAACAGGGTTTTGGGGTTCTTTTTTCTGGGGTTTTGGGGTGCTATTCTAGTTTATGTATATATTCAGGGACCATGAGGGAATACGATTTGTAATTATTCCGACCCCCCATATTAACGCATGCCAGCATCGGGGTGTCTCTTGTCATGCACGCTCCGGGTCTTCGGTCGAACAGCTGGGCAGTTTGGCTTCGGAACTTGTTCTTTGGGTTTTGGGTTTGGCTTCAGAGCTTGGGGTTTCAGGCTATGCAGGCCACGCTCGAGATACAGTTAGGTTGGTTCATGAAGCTGAATTAGACCTTGCAATCGTGAACCCTCCTCCTACTTGGAGAGGGCCACACCTAGCTAACGCCCAAACACTCAACCAATGTCAACCCTAAGCATTTGACAAACCCTAGCCTGGCACTCAGCACGCCCAAGGCTTTCATATCTCGAGTCTGAGGAATAATGGATGAATGTCCAACCTAGCCCAGCTGGAGACGTCCCGAGTATTCCAATGCGCCCGAAGACGCCACAGCAAAGCCCAACCAACCAGGTTCCCCAACAATCCTCACACCTACAACTCTAACCCGATGAAAAAGGGCACCCGTGTTGCCTACGTGGGGTGTACAGGGGAAGCAACCCCCTGCACAACAAAATTCGGGGCTCGGACTTCAGGGTAGAGGCGATTAAGAGTAGAAGGTCTTGAGCTGCAGGTTTCAGGGTTTAGGCCATGGCTGTTGGACGTTTAGGGGTATACTAGACACCCCCTTCTAGGTCATGGTTGGGATCGTATTACAAATTTAATTTATATTCCTTGTTGGGTTTAAGTACCCTCAAACATGTCTTGTTGGGCCGTTGCACGGCATTATGGTGGGCCCCCTTCAGGGGTCCAGAGCCCGCGTGGCCGAGAAAAGGGTTCGGAGAGGAGCCCTTGTCTACCACCAACTTGGGGGGGGGGGGGGTGGGGTAGGGGATTTAGGGTTCAGGGTTTTTTAGTTAAGGGTTTCGGGTTCAGGGCTAAGGGTTACTTTGGGGTGGGGGTTTAGGGTAAGGGTTTGAGGATGTCATTTCGGGTTTCGGCCCTGCAACTCCTTTCAGTCTTGAAGACTTGAAACCCTGTAGGGTCCTCATGTAACATTAACCACGAACAGCTCCGTAATCAATCCCAACATCTCCGCAAGGGCTCTCGGTAAGGGCCTTCCTCTCTTCCCCTTTCTCGCTCAAGCTGGTCAGCCAAGGCTGGTGTGCAGACAAGTCTAGTGGCGATATGCCAACATCCTAGTCCCTGAATCCTACATCTGAGACCCCCCTACATCTTTGCGGCGCAGATTCTACACTACACTCCCCTTAGAACCTGAATAAAAATAATATTTTTAATATCCTCTTGGGTTTTATATAAACAAAATTAGAAATAATTCCAAAGGGGGATATAGTAGATCGAGGGCTTTGGGGACACGGTCTGGACTCTCAGTCGACTCGTTCGAGCCTCTTCCTTAAGAGCTCTGAACATCTACTCTCTCCCAAGCCCTAAGCCCTAAGCCACAGCCCATGTAGGCACCATTTTGGGGGGTTAAGTCGTGGGAGATAATAATCAGTGCCCGTGCTTAATGTTAACCTGGCCCCTGCAAAGAAAAGGAATATGGGTACTTCGGGACAACCAAGCAATGAGAGAATCCCGCCCTAAATTTCGAATAGGCCTTCGCTTAGGACATCCTGACGGGTTCTTAAGGCCGGGGGGGAGGGGGGTCAAGGTCCAAGCTTGCAGCTGGAAGCTGAAGACGTGCAGAGCACAGTCGTTAAGGTTTTGGGTTTAGGGTTCAGGCCTAAGGTTTCGGGTTCAGGGCTTACGGCGTAGGCTTTTAGGACTTAGGGGTTTCGGGTTAAGAGACCTAGAACTTCGAGCCGACACTTGGCAAAGCTGGCCAGATGCCAACGGTGAACCCGTTCCCAAAAGAACGCGGAAGGGACGAGCATCGCTATGGTTAGTATGCTTGATGCTTCGGATCTCATGGCTTCGTGTGAAAGCCAACGCCTGAACTTAAATGTACAACCCCCGTCCTAGAGCCCAAGCTGAGAATTGGGCGTGAGAACTGCAGCAGGTTGTCCTTCCCAAATGCTTGCAGGCATTGAATTCCGGGCAGCAAAAGGTGGTCAATGCCACCCAGGCATGGCTGCGATCTAACTGGGCAGTTTCTTCGACCAGGTCTTTGCAAGTTGGGTTTAGGGTTCAGGGTTTAGGGCTTAGAACGTAGGACTTAGGGCTTAGGGCCCTTAGGCAGGGCAGCGTGTACCCGAGCTTGCATGGTGCAATGTCTGTCCTTGTGAACTGTCCAGCATGTCAGAACTGCCTCCTAAGGCAGAAAGGATCGAACTACAGGCATACAGATTGCGCACCCGAAAAGCGGGGCGCGTTCATTGCAATCGGCTCGTGCATGGACACTTATGTCCTCCAGTCACAGCTGTACAACTCTGGGAGACGCCTCACTGGTGCTCGCAGGTGGGTGATCAAACGCCACTAGGGGCAGAAAGATGTCTCCTGACATTTAAACTTGAATCAAGGGAGTGCTGCTGCGCGACAAACAAACCTCTCGAAACAGCCCTCTTCCTTGACAGCTCAATCATGCTAAACCCTTCGGCTCAAAATCCAGACTGCATGTTGACAAGACCTTTAAGGGCCAAGGGTTTCTGGTTTTTAGTTTTTAGCAAGAGGTCAGAGGCCGAGGCTCTACCGCTTCATCCATGCGCAGGATTGAGGGGGGCGCAGAGTATGTCGGACTGCATGCAGGAGATCATGGAGCACATTCTCTCCTCCCTGAACTGCATGCGAAGCAAGAAAGGCCACCAAGCCGCCAAGAGTCTCGATACACCCAAGAATCCTTAAGAAGCCCTCTTGCAGCATTAGAATCGTTAGAGCCTAAACCCGCATGTAAAAAAATAGGCCGTAGGAAAGCCATCTCGTGGTCGACAACAACAGGCTCGATGACCACCATAAACCAAGAAACGGGAAACCGAACCATTGTCAAAAGCCCGCAGACCTAAATCCTGAAGGCTACTTGGAGGTTCATGGTAATCAACAACCCAATTATAACAACACTTATAATTGGGTTATAAGTACCCTGAACCTCCAAGTAGGCCCCTAACTCCCGCGGCCTGCCGCTCAAGACATCGCGCCCGCCACTGCCGGCGCTAAGCGCGCAAGCTTCGCACAGGCGTAGGCGGATCGGGGGGGCAGCGGCCTCGTTCTCGGGGTTCCGGGCTTAGGACTTGCAAAACCCCTACATGCACATCCCTGATGTCTGACTTGGGCCTTTGGCTCCAGTGAAGAATTGAAAGTTGGATGCCTGAAGGTGCTACGCACTAAAGCGGCAGCTTCAGGTAAGGTATAGGAACCTCAACCAGCAGCTTGGGGTTCTGGGCAGATGTAGCGATAAGGGAAGCATGCTGAAACAAGTCCCCCAAGTTCGTTGTCTGAGCAAATGCAAGCGCCTAAACCCCAACCCCTTCTAGCCTCCAGCCCACCACTCACCACCCCCACAACCCACCACCCTCCCCCGCCCAACCCCCCCATTCCACCGGCCAGATCAAAGAAAAGAGAAGCCCTCAGCTGAAACCGAGTCACAGCTCCGGCTTCGCCTCGGGGTCAAAGGTTTCTAGTCTTAGGCTTCTAGGGTTTATAGGGATGAAGGGTTGCTAGGGTTGTGAGATTGGGTGGCTTGCGCTAGAGTGCGTGTTGCAGAGTTTTGGTTCTCCTCTAGGGTAGACTGTGGAAGAACAATGGCTGGACACTCCAGGGCGCTCTGTCATTGGCGAGGGAGAGCATCACTGCAAGCTGCGTACAAATGTTCTTGGGTATGAGCCCATGTCTCCAGCTCCCATGAGATTGCCTCAAGGCTGCCTGCAAAAACCCAAACCTAAACCTGCTCAAACATATGACATATAGAAAGCTCACATGGATCTGGTCATAAGACTTGTTCAACAGGTCTGTTGTGGTATCAGGGGGTCTACAAAATCCCGAAGCCCGTACTTTGGCTGCAAACAAGGCGGCCAGCTCAGAGCCACACTTCTTGCGCGCGAGCCTGTGCAGCGCTCTGCGAGAGAGGTCCGAGAGAAGGCAGGGAAATTCGGGCTGAGGGCTCAGGGTTTAGGCTGTAGGGTCTTCCAAGTAGTTGCTTCAACTTGAGGTCCCTGTTGGGGGGGGGGGGGGGGGTCGGCTCATTTACAACAATCCCCCAAATTCCTTGGCATCACCCAAGCTAGGTCTGGAATTCCCTTGTATTCCTGCTAGAATCCTTGCATTGGGGGGAAGGGTGGATCCCATATATCCTTCAGCTATACATCAAGCGTGAACCCACACTCCTGTGCTGCTTTTGGATGGCGTACAGGACAGCTGCAATGATTTCCTCGGCATCGGACCAGGCAAGCGTTTGCTGATACCGCTGGCATATGGCTTAGTGATACTGCCAAGCGGAAGCCAAGTCAAGCAAGTCGGAAGTCTGCTGCTTGGCGACAAGCTACCTGATCCTGGGAGCCCTGAGACACAAACTCCGATCCAAAGCCAAGCCACGCAAGCTCCACTCCCAATAAACAATTGCAAAACAACAAACCCCATAACCCCACAACCCCCCCACCCCCCCGCCCCACAAGAAAAGAACCCAAACACAAACCTCCTGTAAAAAGGATTTTATAGCTTGGTCGACAGGACTCGGACTTGCCACCGCCAGCTTTGATGCCCATGCGCTCGGCCGAGTTCCTCCAAGGGTTCAGCTGCACCCTTCAATCCTTCACCGTAAAACCCTTAACCGCAAACCCGGAACGCGAACCCCTCTCCTGACGCAAGCTCTGTGGCTCCTGCATGCCCGAAATCCCTCTTTAAAAAAAAACCAGAAACCCTTTCAAGGGTGTATGGCTTAGGGCAGCGCGGAAAAAGAGAACCCATGATTGCGTTGGGTGAAAGTGCCGCACCTGCAAGTAAGGGGCTGCTGCCAACATTCAACCATACAATTTTGCTGTAAAGCCATACTTGGTACCCTGATTTAAGTTTCTAACAGCTTAACACCGACCCTAGGAACCCTAAACCCCAAAGCCCAAACCCATGGTGGTTCTACACTCGCAGCGAGCGGACTCCACAGCTAATGGCTGACCCAACTGAAAGCCTAAAAGCCACAAGCCCAAAAAAACAAAAGCCTAAAAACCTTAAACGCCTAAAACCCTAAACCCGTCCTGAGACGGTCGGTGGGCAACCTCGCCAGGTGCATCTGTGCTGGCGTCACGGTTGGGGCATTGGGCCTCCGGGGCGTTGGCTCTGCCAGGCTGCTCTCAGCCTACCACAGGGCTGAGAGGGCTGAGAGGGTTGGGGGGATTTTGGGGTTTGGTCTTAGAGTCTCGGGTTAAAGGGGTTATGGTGTAGGGGGCTGCAGGATTCGGGCACAACATTCCTGCCATGTCCTCGACAGGATCTTTGGTTGCCCAACCAGGGGCTGGGTTATTTGGTGTAATGGGGGACCTCCACCCTGATGCAAAAAGGGAAGAAGGGCACTACTGGCAGCTTAAGGCTCACAGAAGCTTAGTTCTCAGCTCAATGATGTGCAGGAACATTTGCTTCCAGAGACCTGGGTTGTAAAACGCATTATCCCCCCCAAAGAAAGTCCCTCAACTAGGAAACAACCTTATTCACTGTTGTAGGGGTCACGATTAAGTAGGGGGGGGGGGGGGGGGATGATTGGGTTTTCTGGGGCCACGTAGCTCTTGTAGAGCTCAGGGTGCCGTATCAAGCGGAGACGCCCAATGCTCTTAAAAGATCTTCCCTAAGTCCCTAAACTCCTTCCGACACCCCCAGGGCACTTTTAGTGATGATTCTAGTGCCCCCCTGAAGGGTGCTTGGGAGCTTGGGAGGATCTGGCTAAGCCGTCAGCCCATCCTCGATGGATGGCACCGACTCGGCTGGCCGAGGCTTTCGCCCACGGCGCGGACTCTCCGAAGCGGCTTCCCGGCGATCACTGTCCTGAGCCATAGTTTAGGGTGTAGGGTTTAGGTTTAGGGCTTAGCGCTTAGGGGTTAGAAAATTTACAGGGTATACCGGGTTAGGTGTTGAGGACTTAAGGCCGGGAGCTGAACGGCCTTTTCGCAAGCACTTGTTCAGCTGGGCAGCCATATCTTGCCGCAAGGCCTGGTGCAAAGGCGGGGGCGCGCCAGTGACTCCAAGGGCGAAGGTTCTGGGGGATAGGTTTAGGGCCTACAGTGTTTAGGGCTTATAGGGCTTGCAGGGCTAAGGGCTTGTAGGGTTTATTTGGGGTGTGCAGGGTTTAAGTTTTATTGCCCATGGATAAGGCTTCGTGGTCGTGCGTACTACGAGACAGACGTCACCCCTACATAGCGAAGCCACACTCAAACTAAACCCTCAACGTAATCGACCCAGCCAATGCTGCTAACCCCTAAACCCTAAACCTTAAACCCTAAACCCTAAACCCAATTCAAAGAACTGAAAGGCCCATATAAGAGCAGTGCAACTCTACTCGGCGAGCGAAGCCCTATCTGCCCTACAAGCACCCTCCCTGCTGAGGCCCTGAAAGCAACCTCACCCCTAAAACCTAGCTCCTAAACCCTCAACCCTCAACCCTCAACCCTCAACCCTCAACCCTCAACCCTCAACCCTAAACCTCACCTCCGAGGACTCTTGGAGGAGTTGGAGGAGTTCGGCGCGCATCGTGGCAAGCCTCCGAGGCTTTGAGCTACCGGAGGCTTAGGGTTTAGGGTTATCAGGCTGGGGATGCCATGACTGGGGTTTGGAAATCCAAGCTGACGCAAAAGCAGCGTACCTGGCAAAGCACCGAACCCAAGAAGATCTTGAGTGGCTTAGTTCAACCCAAACTCCCCGAACCTGCCCCAAGTCGGAACCTCAAGCAAAAACGAAACCTAAAACCTGATAGGGAACAGACCACATTTCAGACGGCTTGCTTCTACGAAGCAAATCTAAACCGGGTAATTGTTGGTGTCGTCTTTATGATTCGCCTACTAGGGATGTAAGCCCGTATCGGGGGAGCTAGAGCTTCAGGCCCGTGCCCGTGGCCTGCTCTCCACCTCCACGTCCAGGTTCACCAGGGCTGTCCGAAACTCCTCCACAAGTCTCATGCTCTTAGGACATGCAGGTTGAGGGAGGGTTTCGGGTTTTAGGTTTTAGGGTTCAGGGTTAAGCCCTGACACCCCTCGGATGTAGGGGCTCCGACAAAGATTCGAAGCGTGCCATCCAAATCCCAGGCCCGAGCATCAGGCAAGACACCCTTGTGACTTACCCACCTTTCTTTCAAATGCAAAGGCTCGGGACCCTGAACCCAAAACTTTAGGGTTCAGGGTAACCCAGAGTCCTAAACCTAAACACCCACCCCAACCTCGGCTGGCATGCAGCCATCGAGCTCGAAGTGGCAGCCGAAGAAGACCTGGCCAGGAACCATCGCTTTGGGCTCGGTAAGGTAAGGATCACATAGCATAATTGCCTCAAGAAAGAGAGAGACCCAACATATGAATAGGGCAAGAGTAGTTCCCTTCCTCGGGCTCCCTTACCCCCCCGATGCAGTTCGAAGGGTTGGAGATTTTGGAGCTTCGGCTTAGGGATTAGGCGTGTTGGGCTTGAGGTTCTTGATTGGCTAAAGCCACCTTTCAGTTTTCGAGGGCTCTAACTAAGATGAACCCATGACACACAAGCTTGTAACATCTTGACCCCTTCAGTTCCCGCTCTTTGTCCCCCTTTCTGTCGGTGGGCCTTGCGTGGCTCCTCTTGCGGTTGCTGGGGCGCGTCCGCGGCTTCGGTGCTTTTGGGGCACCTGGAACACTTCTGCTGTAGCATTAAAAAAACTGCTAGGGAATACAGGAGAACGACGGGAGAAATAACATGAGGGTCTACGCTTCGTCAGAGCCCAACCCCTTAACACTGCACCCAAAGAAAGCCCAAACCCCGGCAGCACCAAGTCCCAAGGCTAACCAACTCCGATATCGGGGTGGAGTTTGGAGACTGCTACACAGGGTTTAGCATCTTTAGCATCCCATCTGGCGCCAGGAAGGAGCAATGCATCTGGCACGTATGAAAAATCTGGCAGCCAGGTCCTGACCCCTGAGCGAAAGCAACCACCCTAACCTTCGATAAGCAAGCCAAAACTGACATGCAAACAGACAACAGACATATTTATGTATACATATGCGCACGTGTATGCATACATATATATATATACATATATACACATATGTATATACTAGATGTATGCAGGCAGTTCATGCACGCTGAACAATAACACTTTGCCACGATGCTCAACCAGCTTGAAGCGTGAGGCGTGCCTTGACCACGCGGGATGCGCAGAGGTAATGTTGGGATAGCGCTTGGTCGAGGAATTGGGGTTTTGAGGTAAGAGTAGATGATTTGACTAGTTGAGACCGTGTGACGTAACTTTGCGACATATGTAACTAGGGAAAACTTAGGGAGAGGCGAGAAGGGAATGTCGTTCGACACTTGCGCCAAACTCCTGGAAAGCAGAACTGTCGAACATTGCAATTCTTGTCACAGCTCACAGCTTTGGCATTCAAGGTTTCAAATCCTAAACCCTAAACTCTAAACCCTAAACCCTAAACCCTAAACCCCAAACCCTAAACCCTAAACCCAAAACTTTCCTAAACCCTACAATACCCGAAACCTAGGTGCTCAAGCCAAACGAGAGACCCTGCAGCCCTCCTCAAACCGAGGTTGAAGTTTGCCTCCCAATGCCCTTCAACCACAAAACAATAGTCAGACCCCTTAGAATCTCTATGGACTATTGCCCTTCAGACCCCTAAGAACCTCTATAGACTATAAACCCTACAACCTCAAACTCTCCTTCCCCCAACTCTAAAATTCTCACCCCAACATTTCCGTACTGGGCCCAGGCACGGCCCAGGGGCCCTCGCGGCATTCGCCAGGCAGCGACCCATCTCTCAGGACTTTGGCAGCTGCACAAAGCAAAAAATTGCGGCGAAGGTTGGTCGGTGGAGGTTGAGGGTTGAGGGTTTTAGGGTTTAGGGTTTACGGAGGGTTTTAGGATTTAGGGCTTAGGGCTTTGGGTTAAAGGCTGCGGGTGATGCTGAGTCATTTTCCGGTTTTCCGTGACGGAGGCATTGCTTCTATTGGCGACCCTGAATGCGCCTGACTAGGACTAAGAAGTTCTTGGGCTCCGTTCGTTTACCGCTATCCCCCGCCCATCATTCGTGTTGCCTTCAGGGCACATGGTCAGGTTGAAAGTTCCGTCAGGTCTCTGAGATAAAAGGGTAGAGGGACCATTGCTCATTTGTCACTCAGGATGACAGTCCCGAGTCAAAGTTTCTCTGCCCTTCAGGGCTAGGGGTTGAGCCTATAAATCCAAGTATCCTTAAATTCTACAAGCTCTTTCGTAGTAGAAGCGAACCCTAAACCCTGAACTTGAGGGTTTCCAGGTTTTGTTGGTGCGTGGGAGAGGGTGTACCGAATCGTCTCCTGCATGGGCCTTGCAGGCTAGATGGCGACGCAACCGGCCACAGTACAAAGTTTAGGGCACTTCTGCTAATGGTGCCTTTCTTGGGTCAACGAGCTATATGGCACTTGCATCGGAGATCCCTGAACCCTGAAACCGACACCCTGGTCAAATTTGGGCTGAGATCTCGGCGCCAGCCCGCGCGACAAGCGCAAGTCCCTTCACAAACTTTTGGTTTCTTGGCAATTTCGGGTGATATATATATATATATAGATAGATAGATAGATAGATAGATATGTTTGTTCATGTATTTATTTACACATATATATATATATATATGTAAGGCTGAGGGTCAGGGGGATTCGGCCATGAGGTTCAGAGCTTTGTAGGGTTCAGTGTTTCATCAAGGTTGGAGGAGTCAGGGTGCAGGGAACCTTGGCTGTTTAGAGCTTCCTGGGCTCATTGCTGCAGGATGTAGGGTTTAGGGTTTAGGACTTGAGATACACTAGCCCCCTTTGCTCTTGCTGCTGGGGAATTAGAAGTTCGGGTTTTACCTTTTCCCCCCGCAGATACATCTTGACGGAAATACATGGGGGTTTTACCTTTCCCCCCCCCAGAAACATCTTGACGGAAATACATGGGGAGCCTAATTCACAAATTGCCTCGTAGGAACGACCACAAACTTAATCCTTAAAGCAAAAACACGGCTTTGGCACAGTAGCGCGGCTCAAGGTCTGGTGGCACTTAGGGTTCGAGGGGCTGGGATTGGCTGGGATGTAAGGGAAACGCTAGTGTCACTGCTTCACGTGAGACCGTCGGGTAAGAGAACACTGGCCATGCAAAGCTGACCCCTCCCCGCGCTTTGGGAAACTGTGACACACTTGGCACACACACACACACACATGCAAAAGCCCAAACACACACGCAAGAATACACCAATGCACGGACGCACATACCAATACGAGTCATTACGAGTCTGAGAACCATTGGACGCGCCCTCGTCGCAGCACATGCAAATCAAGCACCATATGATGTAGGGCTTTTGGCATTTGTGGTATCCCCACAATATACAAATGTACACACTGACCAATATTGCTGAGCAAACCTATCTACACTTCCCAATAATAACGGTAATCCCACATTCGAAAAGACTCATCTACGAGACTTCACACATGGGTTGCTGTTAGAGAACTTGAAACTAAGCTACCATACAATGGATAGATGGTAAATCATACTTGGAGGTTCATGGTACTTACTAACAATGCTAACTGTGCTTAGAACTGTACTTTTTACCATATTAGGGCACTTAAGGGGCTTGAAAGTGGTTATAAGTACAGTTGTAACTGGTTACTAAGTACCATGAACCTCCAAGTAGGGCTTGCTTATGGCATAATCCTCCAAAATACGACAATTGTAAACCTCCCCAGGTCATATCTACTTCCTCTAAGATGCCTATGTAATTGCAACCCTGCCCCTCTGTCACACGTGCCCACCTCAGCGTGTAGCGGTCTGGAAGAGTCTCCATCACCTCTGGCATGCGTGCTTGTAGGGTTTAGGGTGCAGGGTGTAGGCCAAACCCGAAAGCCTTAACCCCGCAAGCCTACACCAGAACCCTATAAAGCCACAAACCTTAAGCCCTACAAAGCGCGTTAATGCGCGTAAACCCCCGAAAGCCTAGAACAACGTGCGATCACCGCGAAGTTTGAAGGCCCTTATATAGACCAAGCTACACGAAGCTTACCTGACCAAGGGCTTTGCGACGCCGGAAAGTGGAGGGCTAGGCCAGCCACGGCTGCAAAACCGAAATCCTATTCAACTGCAAGCCTCTTGACAGCCTTGATGGGAGGCCTGGAAGGCTTTCGCCGTTTTGGGGATTCTGGATTCTGGTGGCGTGGCTTCAAACGTAGGGGCTTTGGGTTTGTGGGCCTTTTGATTTCCTGGGTCTCGCGCTTCATGGCGTTTTTGTGATTGCTGTTGAAGAGCATGCGCAGCAGTGCTGGTGCCTAAACCCTAAACCCTAAACCCTAAACCCTAAACGTGTAAACGCGTAAACGACACAGGAGATCAAGTGAGGGCTCACCTGAAAGATGGCATCCTCCCGATAGCTTAGCATCCCGGCTCCAAACAAGAACTGAAAACAATCTACTCACAAGACTGCAACAACTCTACAAACCCCGAAACACCCTGTTAGGTTTAAAGGTCTTTCAAGATTCAAGAGTTAAGAGCTTAGGGTTCACGGCTCAGAGGTCCAAGTTTCCCTGAGACCCCTCGACACCTGCTGGAGGACCGCGTTGAACTTCCTGAGCTCGGCACGCTTTTAAGGCATAAGAAGTAGAGTTTCACTTTCTTGCACCCCCCCAAAAGGACACCAATTCTATACACTCAGTATCATTTATAAGGAACCCTATATGCACTCACCAAGAACAGTAGCATGAACCCTGCTTCATCTAGGGCCTACAGAGCTTACGGCGTGGGCGGGGTTGATAGGGATTGCAGGGCTTAGAGGAGGCTTATAAAGGAGTTTTGAGGGCTCAGGAATTATGGGTTTTGGTTCATCGGGTGTAGGGTTTAAAGTTTAGGGTGTGTATGGTTCAGGAAGGCTGCCTCAACAGGGAAGGCTGCCTCAACAGCCCAACACCCTCAAGAATTGTTCCGATACTGCCAGACCCTCCAGAGCACCCCATCCCGAAACCCTGATTCAACCATAACTCAACCCGAATTCAACCTAATGCAACCCGAAACCCTAAACCCTGAACCCTGAAAACGCCGAAAAACTAATTCAACCATAAACCCTAAACCCTAATCCAACCCTAAACCCTAAACCCTACACCCTAATTCAACCCCAAACCCCAAACCCCAAACCCCAAACCCCAAACCCTAAACCCTAAACCCTAAACCCCGAAGCCTGAAGCGTAAGCTGTAATCCACAAGCCAGCGTCTGCCCGGCGAAAACCCGCCGCAGTGGCCCAAAGAGCTCATCCAAGGCTGTCCTAATGGTGTAGGGTTTAGGGTTTAGGGTTTAGGGTTTAGGGTTTGGGGTTCAGGGTTTGGGGTTCAGGGTTTAGGGTGCTTAGAAAACTCAAGTTTCAGGAAATCAGGGGGGTTCAAGGCTGAGGGTTCGAGGGCTTCGGGTTCGGGGTTTAGCCATGAGTCTTGTAGGGTTCCCAAGTAGACTCGGGAAAACAGGGAACCTTTCCTGAGGTTATGCTAAAGGGACGGTTTAGCGTTTAGGGTTTATAGGGTTTAGGGTTTATAGGGTTTCGGGCTTATAAAGTGCAATGAAGTTGTAGGTAGGTGTTTGTGCTGCTCCGCACTGTAGGGTTTGGGGGAGAGCCCGTATAAGCACGCGAAAGCACCGCGAGGCCATTAACCCATATAAACCTCTTTATTGCACATTACAAAGGGTTACAAGGGTTCCCACAAGTCAGCATGCTCCGAACTAGGCCTGCTCTGTGGATGAGGTACATGCCAGGATGTCGGGTAGAGTCCAGCACGGCGCACCCGAATGGGGACGAATATATGCTGGCTCAAGTCAGTGGCCAGCAGTGAAGCTATTAGCGATCGACTGCAAACCCTACAGCCGTAAACCGTCGAAACCTCTGAACCAGACCAACCCCTTCCCTAAACTGCAATGCTAGTGTTACTAGTGTGCGCCCTCAACCGGTCCTCTCCATCGTGGGCTCAATCTCGCGCAGGGGCTGCAAGATGAAGCCCACGATGGGAATCTGCAGCGCCTCGGGACGAGACGAGTCACGCAGTTGTGAGGCGTCGGGGGCCCATAAGGGGCCTTAATAATCAGAACACTTTTTCTTTTATCTTTATTTGTTATTTATTTGTTTCTGTGTTCTTTTTTTTTTTTGCCGGGGGGGGGGGGGTTATTGAGTTAGCAACTACCATTTCCATTTTCTAACCATGCCCACCCCCCTAGGCCACCCGAAGACCCAAACCATAACAACCTATACCTCAACCCTAACTCCTCCCAAGACCCATAGGTAGAACCCTAGGAAAGACCCACCTGAAGACCCCAAACCATAACAACCTATACCTCAACCCTAAACTCACCAAAAGACCCATAGGAAGACCCCTAGGATGGAACCACCAGAAGAAACCATACACCACCACATAGAAAAACCCCAACCTCAACATCATTCACCAACACCCCCATAGAAAAACCCATATTCCCAACCCGAAATCCCTAACCCTTGAAAATGGAAATGGTATTCTCTAATAAAATAACAATAATAGGAATAAGGTTTAGGGATAAGGTAGGAATAAGAAACAAGAATAATATTATTTCAACAAAATGATATTATTATTGGTTTATTATTTAGGCTTGACTAGGTCGCAGTATTCTTCTTCAATGTCCTTAATACTTTTATTCAACCACTTAACAGCATCTTTTGGTTTCACATCTAAATATTTAGTGTCTGTGAGACCCCCACATTGACAAAGTATTTCAGTATGTTCAATTAAATCCGAATATTGCTTTATTAACTTTTTATCTTCTGAGATTCTGCCTGCAAAAAGAGATATATCGCGCCTAACATTCAAGACATCTTCTTGGTCAAAAACACTTTCATAAACTTTAAGCAACTTACATAACTCCTTAATTTTATTTGAATAATCTATTTCATTTAATTTCATTTCATATATCTTCTTGATATACTTCGCTTGTATTTTATATGTATTTAAATCTGTATAATCCATTTTCCTCTTAATATATATAGTTGTTATTTCTTTAAGTGTTTTTCTTCAGAAATTCTTTTCTTCAGATAAACCAATCATAACATTATACTATTAATAATGTTATGTTTGTTTAATCCATTAAGACAAACTCAGGTTTATTCATAAGAGTTCCAACAATTTTATTAAAGTCCCTAATAAATGTATCTGGGTTATCACCAAAATCGTTTATCTTTCTACGAATGTCAATGTTTTTAATGACCATCCAATCCTCATATATCCACCTGAGTCTTGTATATCTTCTTTGTGACAATCTCTTGAACAGACTATTTTTAACTCTGTCGTAAATAGGAAAGTCATGTTTAATTGAGAAAATAAGTCTATCTACATCATATTCGTGTAGTATATTACGTCTGATAATTCCCTCTATTATTTCTTCTTTGGATTGGCGTTTTTGACAATTACTGCAAAAATAAGCAAATCCATAAATATTATTAATAATATTTTCTGGTAGCGACAATTCGTATAGAGTGGAATAACGTTCGTGTTTCTTACAATCCTTACACTTACAATTCCGTCGCTCTTCCTTGAGTTCCCTGAAGTAGTCACCAACCTTGACACCATCCAAGAAGTTATTTATTATTTCATCCTGTTCTTTCTGATTGAACATTTCCCTATTAATATATATAGGTTTTATTTCTTTAGATGTTTTTCTTTAGAAATTCTTTTCTTAAGACCTATCTATAGGAATTTCAATAATTATCCTATCCTTAAGCTTGCCGAATAGCATAAAATAGTCTTCTAAAAACTCGTCATTAAATAGCAATTGATGGACGTGATTGAATACTTTATCAATATCGGGTTTAGGTTTCTCGGGTTCAGGCTGTGGTTCTGGTGTTTCCTCTTCATCAACAAACTTATTAGGGAATTGTTCGTTTAATCGTTTGCGTATTTGCCTTTTCTGCTTTTCGTATTCCGCCTTAGTTTCTGCTTGTGATTCGTCGTTTAGTTTGCCTTCTTTCCTTAAGTTGCCTAACTTCGTTAAATAACCTTTCATCAATATATTTAGTTCCGAGTTCGGATGTAACGCATAATGGAAATGGGCATCCCAGTTTTCGTGCTTGATTTTATGTCCGCATTCTTCGCATAATTGGCTCCCCTTTGCTCTCGCTTCTCTACGTGCTTGGTTATATTCCTTCTGGTTTTTCTTGTAGCATTTTCTTTTCGCTTCACGGCACCTATTACAAGTCTTAAAGCCGTCAAACTCTTCAACATCTTTAGTCGCACAACACGATTTACACACTCGCATCTCCATCTTACTATATTAAAAAGTCTAGTCTTTAGGCATGGTTAGACCGAAAAAATCTTCTAACATTTTAATTAATATTAGAACATTTGAACGAGCAAAGGGCAATAGGGCGCAAACTCCAAACTAATTAACCATTACCACACTCTTATGATATGCTTATGGTATAGCGCAACACGCGGGGATGAAAAAATGATGTCTGGGGCTTATGGCACTATACAACTGTCAAATATACATATCAATAACACTTTAAGTCGTTATTTTAACAATTCCTGTAATTGATAAAACTCAAACAACAATTTAAATCGTTTCTTATACTGACTTAAATGCTGATAATCCTCCAATTCATCTATTATAGCACTTAGCCTAGCGTTATACATTCTTATCTTTCTTCTTTCAATTAACCAAGCACTCGTGGTTTCTTTCTTTTCCTTCTTCAAACACAAACAATCCATATTATTATTACATATATATTAATCCAGTAAATGAAGACCTTGAAATTTCAATTGTTCAACATCTTTCTTAACATCTTCTACATCTTCTTCAAGTTTATCAAGCCGTTCCTCACATTCTTCTGGTGTGATTTTCCGATTTTGACCCCACCCTGTGCTACAAAGTTCAACGCCTCCTATTTGTGGTGATTTGTCTGGTTTGAATATTCCATCATCGGGAGATACATTTCTACCCTTTCCAATTTTAAAACTGCTTCTATCTTCTACAACATTAACAATAACTTTATTATCTTCTGTTGTTGTTTTTGTTTCCTTATGATATGTATTTCTTTTACATCTACAAAATAAACAATTTATACCATCTTTATTAACACTTAAACCTCCTTCTTTTTGTTCGTCATTTTCTTTATCACTCATTTATACTATCTAGATTTCTTTTTTATTTTTCAAATACATAATGAAGGCCTTAACCAATTCTAGAAGGTTATGACAACATCTACGATATTTAGGAGGGGCAATTATTTGCTCAATGGTCTCTATTTCGTTGATTACTTCAACACATTCGGCATAAGTTATTTTACTTTCTTCCATATACTTTTAACGATAAAATAAATCTATTTATTATTAATCATGATTACACCTATAGTCAAACCAGTCAATGTAAAAGAATATGACTTCAAACAATCTAAATATGAAGTGGCGCCCAGATTACCCTTTTCTCAAATAATAACAGGCCCATCAGGAAGTGGCAAAGGAATATTACTTCAGTCAATGATATTAGATATTTATAGAAACGTCTTTGAACGCGTGTATGTTTGGTCTCCTTCAATTTCAGTTGATAGTAATTGGACGCCAGTTAAGAAATACATACAGGACGAACTGAAGGTGGATTTAGAAAAGGAAAAATGCTTCTTTGACGAATACATCCCAGAAGAACTAGAAAGGGTGATAAAGCAACAACACAAAGTAATAGAATATCAGAAGAAGAACGACCACAAGAAATTATTTTCAATCCTAATTATTGTTGATGACTTTGCCGACAGTAAGGCTTTTTCAAGAAATTCACCTTTATTAAATCAGTTATACGTGAGAGGCAGACACAATGCAATAAATATTATCACGGCAACGCAAAAATTCAATGCCCTAAGTCCCATCATCCGCGTTAATAGTCGTCAGTTGTTTTTCTTCAGGTTAAGAAACTACAAAGAAATAGAAACAATGGTAGAGGAGTTAAGCGCCGTATTGATTAAGAAATCGTCCGTGGCAGACACTAAAAACCTAGCAGAAGCAAAGAAACTAATGCTAGAAGTGTATAATTTAGCAACGGAAGAACCATACAGTTTTTTATTCATTAATCTAATGAAAGGTGATGTAAATGATATGTTTTATAAACGCTTTGACGCTAAATTAGTTATTGATTAGATAATAATATCTATAGATATTATTATCTAAATCAATGAGTAACTACACAAGTTTATAGCAGGTAGTTTATATACAAATTTATCGCTTTTTGTTTCTTCTAATGTTTCAACTCTTTCAATAACATCCTTTAAAGTATTAAATAATAGCATGTCTGTTCTTGTTTTTTCATTAATGTCTAATTCTTTTATTTGTTTCATATTTTCCGTAGCATTAAATTTAGATGTTTTAGAACCCATTATATATTAATATACATAATTATTAATCGCTCTCGCCTTTACCTTTCCCCTTCAACTTATTTACTTCTTTCTTCAATTTTTCTACTTCATTTATTGTTGCCTGTAAAGCACTCCATAAAATTGGAGTAGTCGTTGCATAATCAAACTTTAAATATCCATCTTTTCCTTCTTTTACTACATTCTGCCATTCATCTGGCATCTTCTTCGTTTCCATAAAATCATTAGCAATAAAACCAATACACGATTTACCTTGTTGTCTGTCATCAATAAAATGATATGTTTTTGGTTTAATATATTTTAATAATTCTACTGCTTTTTTACTATTTACTTCTTTAATATCTTTCTTTAGTTTTTTATCTGATGAAGGAATTAACGACCCCGTATATGAAAGGTCACCATAAACATCTACCCCTGTTGTTGTTGCGTCTAATGTTGATAGGTTATTATTGCTTAATCTTATCCATCCGTTGTCGTCTGGATTATTTATTAATACTCGTTGCTGTCCCGTTATATCGTCGTGTGTTATTTCTAAATTTCCTAATATATTCACTTTTCCTTCTGTTAGTTGAAGTTCCGGTGTGCTTCCTATCGTTCCTATGATAAAATTTATTGCCCTGTCGGTGTCTCCATTTCTT